GGAACAGGGGCAGAGAGCTGTTTTTTTTTTTTTTTTTCCATGATTAGCCCCCCCCCCCATGCCAAAATGTATAGGTATTCAGCATTTATTTTATTATAGTGAGGTGAGGCACTGGTAGGCTTCCAAAGTACCTTAAAATTGTAAATGTGTCAGTAACATGGATTGGGGGGGGGTGTTAATCTGAGAATTTGATCTTTTTTGAAACAGAAAAATGCAGGAGCCCTTCTGATCACTCAGCCTTGTAAGTGGAGCTGATTAGAGCAGCAGGGCATGTTGATGTGACCTGTACCAAGTTGCAAACAGACCAGTTGCGGTTCTCTTGCTAGGAGAATTTCAGATCCTCTTGACAAGAGTGCAAGAGCCATGATGTCACTTTTTACTAGTTGCAGCATATTTTAAGACAAAATAATGTGCAGCCCTCTAAACAGGCGGAGCAACAACTCAAATTGCAAGTGTCCATTGCAGTGCTGAAGACAAACTTTCTTTTGCACTACGCTACTTTCTCTTGTCTTTCAGTCTATTCCAGTGCTGTTTTATTTTAAGTTTTTGATATCTGAAATGGGTGCAGTTTGCCTGCTTTGAATGTTACTGGGTGATATCTGTTCTCCATCTTCCTGCTCTTACCTATTCCCTGTAAATGACAGTCATTTTTTGATGAGCAATAACTGATCCTTGTATCCACAGAAGGGACCCTCTTCGGGAACTGACAGAGTGAAGAAAGGTGGATCCTATATGTGCCATAAGGTAAAGCTAAAAGCCCATAGTGAAACTTGCTGGCTTAACTAATGGGCTGTTAGTAATTGCTGTTCTCTATTTTTAATCTCCATTTATTTCTGATGATGTAACAAGACTAGGTTACAGTAAATATACTTGGCAGCTACTGCTTGACAGGAGCTAGATCCATGTGTGAATATTTAAAATAAATAAAAATACTGCGTTAAAACTGTGCTAGCCTTTGTGTTGCTCAAACTAACCATCATAGCTATGCCTATGTAAGCACCTCTCTGAAGGAACAAGTACTTGCATTCTGATATTGCCCATGGTTGAAATGGAAAACTCATTGCGTCTAGAGCTGTCACTACAAAAACTGTCCCAGCTCCATAGAGGATAGTAATTCTATGGTTATTGTGTTTGGTTTAGTAATGTAGTTTCTAGGCAAGTCCAGCATTGGTGTGCAGTATCTTGACTCGAGAGGCTTCACATTCAGCATTTGAAACAAACAGCCCCTTAGTAAGTTTAAGAGATGTTCCCTTGCTATTGTATCACTTAACCTTGTTGACAGATGGCGAAAGCAGGAATGTCATCAGATCCAGGCTAACAAAGTCTGTGCACGCTTAGTTCTGAATAGATAGCTCGGGATCCAATCGTTCAAGCATGGGGTTGGACTAGACGAGCTCCTGAGATCCCTTCCAGCCGTGCTTTTCTATGATTTATGTATTTGCTTAATTTGGTTCACTGACAGTATTTCCCATATGCAAATTATGTTTTCCTGCACCTTTACGTTCTGCCATGAATTATTCTGTGTTCAGACCACGGTGATTCTTCCCGTGAAGAAAAGAATCTAGTTTCTCTTGAACAGGCCTATGCCATCTGTAGAAACTTAATTCTTGATTTTTGTATATGGGGTCGCCCTAGCAGCTTGTGAACCAGTCTTTGTCACCTAAAAAGCATTTTGTCTATTCAGCTTACAAAATGTACTCTTGAAGTTTAACACCCGCCCGCCCATGTTGTTTTGGTTGAGGATGTTTTTGTCGTAGCAAATGTTACCAGATATCTTCGAGTTCCTGTACAAGTGTTTTTCCCAACCAAGCCTTTTTTTCAATGGACCTAAAAACCTTGAAATGCTCAGGAGTCATTAGAATTGATTTAAAAAAAAAAAAAAAAGTAGAACCTTTTTTTCTCAAGCACCTTTAATGTATTCATGTAAATGTATTAAATGTATTTAATGCCTTAGCCTACAGAAACCTTCTGTAAGCTACTCGGATATACTTAAGTGCTGTCAAAGGTTTGTTTGGCTGGTTTTGGGTTGTGGTTTTTTGTTTCTTTGTTTAAGAGCACACCTCTCAATTCGTTATGCTTTTGAGATGACAGCAACTGGTCAGAATACATTGTTGGATTGTGTTTTGCTTTTGTATTTTACAAAAGGGCACATAGGCTAAATTAAGTTATTTCCGTATTGCTTCACGTTCCCACATAGTAATATAAGCAAACTTAATCTGTTACACCTGTATATTGCTCAAACCAGCAAGTTTTCATGGAACTGTACTGAAAAGCATTCAGAGTGCAGGTTGTTCTGCCTTCCTTGCCCCACAGCCAAGAATTGAATGTTGAAGAAGAGAACTAGTGTACTTTCCATTCAAAGTGGCATTCTTTAAATTGTAGCTTGTAGTTTTCTTGCATTTTGGGAGCTGTAACTATGTAAAATTTACTGGTGAAGCAAGACAAATGTATTCTGTTCTAGAAGAAGAAAGAAATTTTAACAGACATGAAGGGAGGAGGGGGAAAAAATCCCACAGTCCTAGACTAGGATCAACCTAGTACTGCGCTTTAAACCAGAATTAGTGTAACTTCTAATACATCTTTGATATGATATAGATGGCTTATTGTAAAAGTTTTTCACTTGATACTAAATACTTGGACATTAAGGTTGGAAAACTATCTTGGAGTTTAGACGCTCATTTGTGAAGATAGGATATGGGAATTTGTCTTCCTTTTTTCTAGTGAATGTCAGAAAAAACTTAAAGCTGGGAAAACTAGCCTAATATAGCCTGTGGTTTTAGGGCATTTCATAGACATTAGGGCTGGAAGGGACCTCGGAAGATCATTGAGTCCAGCCCCCCACCCGAAGGGCAGGAAGTCAGCTGGGATCATAGGATCCCAGCAAGATAAGCATCCAATTTGCTCTTGAAGGTGTTCAATGTAGGTGCTTGAGCCACCTCCGATGGCAGGTTGTTCCAGACCTTGTGGGCTCGGACAGTAAAGAAATTCTTCCTTATGTCTA